GAGACATCCTGAGCCAGAGGGCCTAGAGAACCCTTGTCTGATTCCTGCCCACAGAAACTATGAAATAGTACGTGTGTTGTCTTAAGCTGCTAAGTAATTTGCAATTCAGCAAGCTAACTAATACACCACCAAAATGAAGGCAGGGGCTGTAGAAGGAAGAACAAAGAGCAGATTGCTGGTATGTGCGATGGGAGTCACGGAGTCACAGAATCTCCTGGGGAAGAAGGAAACTAACCTCTTCCTGTCCTCCTATTTAATGCTAGAATCTGCTGGCCTCTGCTGAGATAACAGGGAACTATCTCCCAAGCGGTCCCTTCCACTTATAACCAATTCTGCTTGCAAGAAAGGCCTTTCTGGCTGGGAGCAGTGGCTCACACCTATAATTCCAACACTTTGGGAGGCTGAAGTGGGATAATTTCTTGAGTCCAGGAGTTCGAGGCCAGCTTGGGCAGCATAGTGAGACCCCATCTCTACAAAAAAACACATAAAAATTAGCCAAGTGTGGTGGCACACACCTATAGTTCCAGCTACTCAGGAGGGCTGAAGTGGGAGGATCCCTTAAGCCCAGGAGGTCAAGGCTGCAGTGAGCCATGATCACACCACTCTACTCCAGCCTGGGCAACAGAGCTGAGACCCTGTCTTTAAAAAAAAGAAAGGAAGGCAATGGGAAGAAAGGGGAGAGGAGGGGTGGGGAGGGAAGGGGAGAAGGGGAAAAACCCTTCTACCTGGAACACAACCTTTATTCCTGCAACCTTATCCCACCCACTGTGATTGCCCTGATTCTGCCCTTAGGACCACAGAAAGCAAGACTAATTTCCTCTTTTCAGCGTGACATAAACATGTAGGTATGGGTTCAAATCCCAGCCCTGCCACTTACAAGCTGTGTTACCCTGAACAGATCCCATAACTCTTCAGTGCATCATCTGTAAAATGGAGATAATAAGAGCATCTGCCTTGTAGGGCAGTGTTAGGCTTTAAGTAAGATAAACTCACAGTGTTCTTAGTACAAGTCTTGACTCAGAGCAAGTGCTCAATGTTATTCTCCATGACTACTACAGTGGATTACACATGCCGGAAATTCATTCACTCCTCCCTTCAAGACAGGGGTCTTGGTTCCCTCCTCTTGAATCTGGGCAGGTTCTGCCACTGCTTGGCCAACAGAACGTGGTTCAAGCGACCTGTGCTAGTTTCAGGGTCCAGGGCTTAAGAGACTTGTAGCTACCACTGTCATCTCTTGAGACACTCACCTATGGGACCTGAGCCTAATTGCCCTGAGGCCAACCATGCTGAAGAAGCCACATGTGGAGAGCTCTGGTTAGCAGTTCCAGCTGAGCACAACCTCCAGCCATCCCTACCCAAGCGCCAAACATGGGAATGAAGCCATCTGAGATTGCCCAGAGCAGCCCATCCACCAACTGAGCAGCACCAAGTGACTTCAGCTAATGTCACATGAAACAAAAGAATCGTCCAAATGAGCACCGCTCCAACCCCTGGTCCACAAACCCAGGAAAGACAATAAAATGGTGGTTGTTTGAAGCTGCTAAATTGTGAGTGATTTGTTGCATAGCTGTAGATAACTGGGGCAACCATTGTCAAATATTTGAAGGTAACTGTTCCCTTCCGTATTGAAACTGCCTCTCTCAGCTGATGCTCACATGATAGGGTTTTGGGCCTTAGGATGCCCGTGATCCGCTGTCTTCTGGACAACTGTAGCCCAACAATGAACATAGCCCTCAGGTAATGGGGGTCTGCTCAACTGCGCCAGTTAGGACTCTATCTAGAATAATTTAAGCAAAAAGGAAATGTTGGCTTCAGGCATGGCTAGATCCAGGTGTTCCAAGATATTGTCAAGCTCCATTTCCTTTGTGATTATTTTATTTTCAGGCCTTCTCACAGAGCCAAAAAGCTTTAGAAACTCAATCAACTTCACATCCTCTCAGGTTCAAGTCCAGATGGAAAGTGTATCTGCCATTCCCCCAACATTCCCAGCCATAGTATCCCTGATCCTCTTTGGTTCATGACTGTGTGCCCCAATCAGAGGCAATCACTGTGACTAGGTAGGTGGAATGGCCTAGGAGCTCACAGATGGGACCTACTCCATCAAAACCACACGGACTGGGAATAAAGAAAGGCAATTCTTCAAAGAAAAACCAAGAATATCATCACAGGGGAAGGATGAGTGGATGGCTGGCCAGCACACCTATGCATATCCACCTCTGCAGTTAAAAGGAGAATGAAAAACATAACCTCTCTCATTCTACATGGGCTACCTCTCTTAATGCAACCCAGGGCCACATCGTCATCTCACATTGTTGACTCACGCCAGATATTCAGGGGATGTTTTCCTTATCCAATGTGGCTTGGTTTTACTCCCTCACCCCCTGCCAAGTCAAGGATGCAAATGTGCAAGTGGGTCCTCCCGCTTCACCTCTGTCCCAAGCACAGTGCAGTGGCTCACACCTGTAATCCTAGCACTTTGGGAGGCCGGGGTGAGTGGATCACCTGAGGTCAAGAGTTCAAAGCTAGCCTGGCCAACATGGTAAAATCCCATCTCTACTAAAAATAGAAAAATTAGCCAGGTGTGGTGGTTGCGCATGTAATCCCAAATACTCAGGATGCTGAGGCAGGAGAATCACTTGAATCCGGAGACAGAGTTTGCAGTGAGCCAAGATTGTGCCACTGCACTCCAGCCTGGGCAACAGAGCAAGCCTCTGCCTCAAAAATAAGTAAAATAGGCTGGGCATGGTGGCCCGCACCTGTGAGGCTTCTAGGGGCACGGAGATGAGCAGACTAGGCCTGTGGCCTGCTCCCCCTTCCCTGAATCATTATCCCTCCCTTCCCTCATAGAGTCAAAGTGATTCAAAGGAGACAGCTCAGGCCCAGAGCAAGTTTTACCGCCAATATGGCTGGCACAAACCCAGGGCTAGGACCAATGCTTTTGAGGGCAAAATTAGCCCTTCTGTTTCTTCACGGAGTTGGATTGTTGCCTTGAGTGAATAGGTGACCATCTGAGTTATTAGCAAACAGGGATTTGGTATATAATGTGTGCATACATAAATAACAACAAAAAAATCAGTCCACCGACCAGAGAGTTCTCATCCACAGGGCCACCAGACACCATGAGATTTCAAAAAGGTTGGCTCTAAAATCAGAGGCTATTTGGATATAAATTCGAGCACAAACCAGTCATTTGATAGATGTGTAAACCAGGGTTCAGAAGAGTCCAGGCATGTAATTGCCCCACGGTCACTGAGCAAGTGAGTGGCTGAGTGATCAGTGGAATTTAGTCCATCTGAGAGCTCACCCCTCCTGCCCTGTTTGGTATTTTTACTTAAGTGAGCACACAGGTTCCAGGGTGGTGAAGAGTTGTTTGTTTTCATTTTGTAATCGGCCTTCATACAAGGTGGGGGCTGGGAAGGGAGGAACAGTCCAGGGCATTTCCCCCATTAATTCATTTGACAAATATTTATTAAGTGTCGACTGCAAACTTGGCCCTGTGCTGGGAGATGAAGACACAATTCCGGAGCAGGGCGTCAATGACTGCCCTTGGAATTTCCAGTGATCAGGGGTTGGTGAGGAAGAGCAGAGACATCAATCCAAGAGTCAGCGCAGTTCATACATTCCACAGGCCCGGAAAGTGCCAGCAGGGGAAAGAACAGGATGTTTACCAGCACCTTCCACGGGCAGCCACGGGCATGGGGCCCAGGACAGGGTCCCCAGAGAAAGTGATGGTTCATCTGAGCTTACAGTAAGAGCTGCAAGGACAGCCTGTCCTCCCCCACCCGCCACCTCACTAAACTCCCACTACAGCAACTTGTACTCCCTCAGCCTTCCAGGAAGCTCCCAGTAACCACTTCCTGACTCCTAGCATGACACACTTCGGGCAGTCCGAGGTTGGTGACCTAAGGCGGTAGCACAGCGCCAGACACATGCAGGCAGGGAAACAGGATGTGCCTCTCCAGACAGTCATGTGGATGCCACCTGGGCTCTCCCCCTCAGCCTCGGCAGGGGAAGAACATTCTTGTGGGGTTTTCCCCTTCCAAATGTCTCAGAGCCATTCCAGCTAGCTCCTGCTAGTTCCTTCCTCCCCAAGCTAGAACACAAATCCTTCCCCTCCCTGCCTGGCAAACACCTTCTTACCCTCAGACCCCAGGCAATGGCCCACCTTCTCCCAGGCTGGACAGGGTCTCCTCCTGTCTGTTCCCCCAGCCCCTGAGCTTCCTGAGACCAAGCTTGTGGCTTCTTGCCCTTATCCTCCCTCCTTGATGTCTCTGTGTTGGAGGGCCCTCAGCATCTGCTGGGGCCTGTGCCACTCGCTAGCTGTGTGACCCTGGACAAGTAACTTCTCTGCGTCTGTAGTTTTTCCTCTCTACAGTGAGAATACTGGAGAGTCCTTATCTTATGGGTTGTTACAAGATTAAGTGACATCTCACACACGACACACTTTCTACAGTCCCTGTCGCACACTAAAGCACTCAACATGCAACGGATAGGTCAGCAGTTTACTATGATGCTACTATGGGTTTACTGTGATGCTACACAATTAATTATTAAGCCTTGACTGCTACAGAGTTGTAACCTGTGTGCACTTTGAACCGGTTTACCGTGCAAACAGCATTCCCGAGTTCCCGCTTTCACCTGTGCCCTAACGGCTCAGCTTCAAAAGTACAGGACAGGGGGGAGGGCAGCTGTGCACCCGGCGGAGGGCAAGGGGCAGGGTGCTGGGCGCCCGGCGTGGGCACCCGGCACCGGGTACACTACGTCTTCTCGCTGCACCCAGCCCGGGGCTCACGTGGGCCGGCTTCGGGGAACTGACCGGCCGCGGCCCGTGTGCAGAGCCGGGCGCGCCCCGCCCCATGAGCGCAGTCTGGTGTTTCACCGGGAGCAGCGAGTGACTCAGCGCTGGGCGGGTGCAGGCGGCGCCGGGCCAGGGCTGAGCTTTTGCACTCGCCCCGGATCTTTCCAACTATAAACACAGCTCGCAGCGCTCAGCTCCACCACGCCTCCTCCAAGTCCCAGCGAGTTCGCGTGCAGCCGTGTCCCGTCTCCAGCCGCCTCTTCAGCTCGCCATGGACCCCAACTGCTCCTGTGCCGCCGGTAAGGGGCTGGGGATGCCCTGTAGCGCTGGAGAAGCAGTTTCTGACCCCTTTTTCTTTCTCTGACTACTCAATTTCAGGGCAGGAATTGCTCCTTCCCAAAGCGTTTTGGGGTGTCTTTCTCTCTATTCTAGGTTATTCGGAGCCCCCTTTTTACCGTTAAGGAGATCTGAGTTAATGGCTTGCTCAAGTTTCCAGGAATTGGTTGTGGACAGAGAAACTCGGTCCCAGGCTCCTAGCACGCCGTCCCGGGTTCAGGTATCCAGGGACCGTTCTCACCTCTGTCTTTTCTCCTTACAGGCGACTCCTGCACCTGCGCCGGCTCCTGCAAGTGCAAAGAGTGCAAATGCACCTCCTGCAAGAAGAGTAAGTGGGATCCTCTCTTTCCTCCACCCCTCACTGTCCTCCAGCCTGTCCCCAGCCCTCTACATCATCCTCAGGGGAAGTAAAGCAGTCTGGGGATGCCCCCATTGCATGGGAGTTGTTGCCTCCTCAGTGATTCTTATCAGGGAGAGCAGGAATCCTTCCCTGTGTCCCTAGTACTCATCTCTGCTGCCTCCTTTCTGTCCCCAGGTTGCTGCTCCTGCTGCCCGGTGGGCTGTGCCAAGTGTGCCCAGGGCTGCGTCTGCAAGGGGGCATCGGACAAGTGCAGCTGCTGCGCCTGACGCCAGGACAGCCCTGTTTCCATATGTAAATAACATGACCTCTACAAACCTGGATTTTTTTTTTTTCATGTACAACCCTGACCCGTTTGCTACATTCCTTTTGCTATAAAATAATGTGAGTGATAATAAAAGAGCTTTGACTTGATTCTGCCTCTGGTTTCCTTTACATGCCTTAAAAATAAGGGACTGGGGTGAGGGGTTGAACTAGGAGGGCAGAGACCTGGCCTGTGGATAGAAGCGTGAGCAGCTAAGAAACAGTGTATTCTGGCAAGCCAGACTACCACACTGAGTTTCATCTTCTGTAAAACTGAGTGGTGTTGTGCCAGATCATATGGGGGCAGGAGGGACACATGCATGATCAGTTTCAGTGTCATGTCAAATGTGGCACAGAAACTTCGCCATTCCTCATTTTCACTTTCTGATTTCCCTGCCCAACTTCAGTTCTTCATGGGATTTTAGACTTGAAAGTGACTCCAGGGGGTGATATCCAACTCCCCAGTGGCTAGAATCTGACATCGGATTTCCAAAACTCCCTGCGGTGAATAACCAGTTTTGTTTTGTTTTCCATTAGTCATAGACCTAAATTCTGGTAAGATAACAAGTTAACAAGAAAATGGAAGTTTAAAAGACACAACGACCATTTTTTAGATTCAACAGGAAAATTTCAATAAATATTTGAAGAACAAAGTACATAGGAAAAATAAAAGCATTACCAGCACTACACATTTGTACAGGGGTTTCCAGGTTTGCATACTGGAAACAGTTCTGAGACTGGCCTGAGTGTATGGCTGGCACACCCTGAGCAGCGCTGATCCAGATATCCATGCAAGGAACCATCAGGCTTGGCCTGCCCAGTGTCACTGAAGACACTTGCAGACCCCTGAGAGCTCCCCGTCGTGCCTTGGTTCTGAATCTTTGCGAGTTCCTCCCAAGGTCAGGCTGAATTTACTCCTCTCAAATTTCAGTGGTTTGCTACTTAAACCAGCAAAATGGCTGGGGATGTGATGGGAAATGCCCAGCATGTTCCCAGCAAGATGAAGTGTGTGTGATCGTGGGTGGCAGATGAAGTTCTTCCTGTTTGTCCACACTGGGGGTGATGGCATTCAGCAGTTTGGAGGGCATGGTGGCACTCATTAGAAACGAGTGAAGCTCTGAGTGACTTGTAATTAAAGCCAATGTTAGTCCCCCTGGCTATGTGGAGGGAATGTTATTTGATGTTCAGTCAAAGAGGATGATGAGTCATTTGGCCCAGAAATCAGAAGCATACTTTGCCTGAAGGTGCTCCGTATATAGTTTTTAAGGCAACCTGTGCCACAGGCTTGGGTTTTCATGTCAGGCAGTCCCTAGTTCACAGCCCGCTTCACCACTTACTGGCTGTGTGACTTGGCAAGTCACTCAACCTCTCTGAGCCTCCATGTCCTCATCTGTAGAAAGAAGATGGTATCCCTATTTATGGATTAAATGAGATATTGGCCTGGCTCCTGGGTAGGGTTTAATGACCATTAGGATCACTCTGTTTACATGGACGTTCTTGGAGACAGAATCTCTCTTGATAAGCTCTTGGGGGAAAATGGATCTGGGAAGAATTACTCCGGGTCGGAGACTGGGGAGTGGAGTAAAGCCTTCCTGACTGTGTATCAGGGGAGGGTGGATGACCTCCTACACAAAGTCCTCTGGGATTAAGATGCTGCCACAGCATTTGAACAAACATAAGAACCATTCTAATTCTTCCTATCGTCTGAACACCCCATGAGCCAGTCAAAGAGTGAACGCGCAAGAACGGAAGTGATTATGTCACCTTCCAGAGTGGTTAAGCAACCTGCCCAAGGTCACACAGCTTAGAAGTCAGAGGTCGGAACCTCCACTACAGCTGGCCTCTTGTCTTGGCTACAGCTGGCAGATCATGTTGTCAGTCGGTGCTAAACCCTGCCTCTCAGAGTTCAGAGCTGGGTCGGCTCTTGGTCAGTTAGCCCAATTGTGTCCCTGGCTTGAGAGGTGGCATACTGAAGCTGAGAGGTCACAAAGCTACGCAGAGGGCATGACTGCCAGCTCAGTGTCCTTCCTACTGCTGCCTCTGTGCCAGATGTTCAGTGTCCTTGTTTTTCACAGAATTACAGCTGTGAGCCATGCTGCCCAGCCCTTGTTTAAAATATTTCTGGCCATAGAGAAGTGTTGTTGACATACCTGGGCCAGAGAACGCTTTATCATGGACACTTTCCTTGAAGAGGCTGGCTGGATTTAAATCAGTGCACAACTTTTCATCTCTCTGATGACCAGTCAGTTACTTGAACTCATTTTTTTGTAGTCCTCTGACTAGCAAAACCTATTCATAAACACTATTTCCATTTAGGATTGCTGTGAGGATTCAAAGAATGAAAGTGTTTGAAAGGGGACTAGTGGCGGGGCATGGTGGCTCCAGGCAGTAATCCCAGCCCTTTGGGAGGCTGACGTGGGCAGATCATGAGGTCAGGAGTTCAAGAACAGCCTGGCCAACATGGCCTAACGCCGTCTCTACTAAAAATACAAAAAAATTAGCCAGGCATTGTTGCCGGCGCCTGTAATCCCAGCTACTCAGGCAGCGGTGGAGGCAGGAGAATCTCTTGAACTGGGAGGCAGAGGTTGCAGTTAGCTGAGAGATCACACCATTGCACTCCAGCCTGAGCAACAGAGCCAGATGTTGCCTTAAAAAAAAAAAAAAAGAACTTGTATAGATTTAATGTTATGCAATAATCAGGTATACTGAAGAGAAGTAACTGGATGTCTTTTTAAAAAATTTTTTTAGAGACATTGACTCCCTGTCTTGTCCAGGCACGATTCAAACTCCTGGACTCAACTGATCCTCCCGCCTCAGCCTTCTAAGTAGCTGGAACTACAGCTTCCCGCCACCTCCCCCATCTTGCTTTCTAATTTAAAACAGGGTCTGCGTATCACCTGAAGTCATCTCTCCTTGGGGACATCCCACATGTCCAGAACTGCCATTCCGTAGTGGGGCCGCCCTAAGGCTGTGGGGAGCATGGAGACTTATATGCAAAGGAGGACCTGGAGAAACGCGTCCCCATATCCTCTCAGGTGAGGAGAATGGACTGGAGAGAGAGGCCGACCGGTGTTCCGGTGTTGCTGTGGAGCGGGTCCGAGGTACCTAGGTGTGGACAGGGACAGGCATGGCGGCGGACGAGGGGAAAAGAAAGCCGCATTGCTGGCAGTTGCTCTGCACACAACTCGCTCGCAACCGCACCCTCCCCACTCCTCACTCAGCAGATCCGGGGACGGAGGCAGGAGACTGCACGTGGACTCCGGGACAGGCCGAGATGAAAACCGTGGGGAGAGGAGTGGGGTGGAGACGACCGCGACGCCAAGGCTGGGTTCCCGGATCGCGGGGGGAGGCGGTTGGGAGAGAAGGCAACCTCAGGGAAACTAGGAGAGGCTGCCGGCACCTCGGGGACACCGCGTACCGCCGGGCGCACAGCCCCTCCCGCGCGAGCAAGCGCCAAAGGTGCCGCTGTGTACACCAAGCAGGGCTCAGGGGATTGTGCGCCCAGCCCCTCAGCTGCGCACAGCACAGCCCAGGACCGCGGGCCACTCGAACGCTGCGGAGCGGGTGCAAGCGCTGGGCGGGGCCTCTGCGCCCGGCCCCCTTCCCGAACTCTAATTAAAAGCAGCCGCGGCTGTGGGACTCCACTACGCCTTACACGTGCCTCAGAGTCTCTTGACTTCTCGCTTGGGATCTCCAGCCTCACCGCTGCTCGAAATGGACCCTAACTGCTCCTGCGCCACTGGTAAGGGAAGCCCGACTCTGCGCCTTGAGATCCCCATTTCCCAGACCCGGGACAGAGGGTCTCTGGGTTTCAGGAAGTCGCTTTTTTTTGCGGGGGTTGGGGGGCACCGGGAGGGAGTCCTGCTCCGCCTCCGGGTTGAAGCAATTCTCTGGGCTCAGGCTCCTGAGTAGCTGGGATTACAGGTGCATGCCACCACGCCCGCCTAATTTTTGTATATTTGGTAGAGAACGGGTTTCACCATTTTGGTCAGGCTCGTCTCGAACTCCTGACCTCGTGATCCGCCCGCCACGGCACTCCCAAAGGTAGATTACAGGCGTAAGCCACCACGCCCAGCCTGGAGGTCGTATTTGAAGTTCTGAGAGGAAGGGGATTCCTTTACTTCTTTAGGTGTTTTCTTCCTGATCACACCCCTGAGAGCACTACCCTCCTCCCTGAGGCTCTAAGTAAGAGTTCAGGACACTGAGGCTCAAGGCTGTCCTGCTGCAAATCACCCAATTGGTCAGGGGACTGCTGGCTGGTCCCCAATGCTCTGTCCAGGCTCTGAGCAATCACGGTGGATGGGGACTGGAAATCTTGAACCCTCAGGGTTCAGGACAGAAGGTTCTGGCTCTCAATCTCAGTATTCTTGGTTTGTGTGTGCACCTGGGACCTTCCAGGTGGGGTAAAACAGGAGGGCGCTTCCCCTTCCCAACATGAGTGGAGAGGACACAGGGCTTCTGTTCCTCTGTCCTGAGTGGAAAAGGAGCTCTGCGGGCTGGCCCTGCACAGAGGAGGCGACACTGGAGACTCATTGACTCATTGCTTCTGCATCTCACTCACTGCCCACTGCCTTTTCTCTTCCTTGCAGGTGGCTCCTGCACGTGCGCCAGCTCCTGCAAGTGCAAAGAGTGCAAATGCACCTCCTGCAAGAAGAGTGAGTGTGGGGCCATCTCCAGGAATCTGGGGCTGTGGCTAAGGTTGGGAGGGAACCGTAGGCTGGCCCTGAGTGCATCCTTTCGGGGAACTGGGCTTTCTTTGTCCTTATTAGCCATGTCATTTTCTCTCCATGCTTTGTGCCCTGAGTTGGGAACAGAACAGCAAATATTTTTTCTTTTGCAACACAAACCCTAACTATACCACCCATGGTTTCAGAACAGAGTTGCCCCAAGCTGAAAAAACATCCTCTGGGTCTGGGGTCTGAGCTGGAGCCAGGCTTGCTACTGGGGCAGGGAGGTGCCTGGTCAAGTCTACTGCCACCTCTCACTCTCCCCTTCTTCCCCAGGCTGCTGCTCCTGCTGCCCCGTGGGCTGTGCCAAGTGTGCCCAGGGCTGCATCTGCAAAGGGGCATCGGAGAAGTGCAGCTGCTGTGCCTGATGTGGGGACAGCTCTG